TTCTGCAGCCGCAAACGGGAATGATGTAGCCAAACTGTCCACCACAAGATTAAGCCTCTGGGTCCCAAAGATGAAAATAATCCCCTTGGTTCCTTACCTCTAAGTGAAGTCCATTTCCAAAGGTAAAGCAGATCTGTAGAAAAAAAACCAAAAATCAAAATGAAAAACAGAAGCTTGACCACCACTACCATTCTTTGCCCAAAGGAAACAAATTCTAATTTCGCCGTAGCCCTTGCCCAACAACCAGGGCCAGCAGGTAGTATCTACTTTCTTCTTGGTGCGTGCTGTATCTTCCAGAAAATGACTAGTATCTTAGTTATCTGTCTTGTGAAATGTTAGCCCTCCTCAGATCCTTGTCTTGCCCTTCTGTGCTTTCATCTCATGTTCTCTGGGGTTCACTCACTTTTCCTTGAGGCCGTTAGTAGGAGATGAGACTCCCCGCTGACTCCTACCATCTCCATGGGCCTCTCTCTCTCTCTTTCCTGTTAAGTGCTGCACTCTGGTATACCCGCTCTTCTGCAGCCGTGCAAACGGGAATGATGTAGCTCTCTTTCTCTCTCTCTCTCTCTCACACACACACACACACACACACACACACACACACACACACACACACTCCTGCCCGGTGTTCTGACTTCTCAGTACCTAAAGGTCCTCACTTCCACCTCATTTTTTCTTTGTTTCTTCAGAGACATTGTCGCAATTTGGGCTTCAGTGAAACATGGCACTCCTCTAATTAGTTCGTTCTGTTTACGCTCAATCTCTCCAACAAGCTCCTGTCTTGCTTTCTGAATTTTGCTGTGATTTCTTTACAGTCGTTGAGTCTTCTCCGTGAGTCTCCTGATGGCTTACTCTAAACCAGAGCTTTCTACTATGATTCAGTTGGCCAACTGCCCATGTGAACAGGGCCAAGGGAGAATATGTCTGTTACCACAGAACAGGGTACTATGGCCAACCACTCTAATGATATTGCCAGTGACAGCCAGGGAGCCTTCACTTTCTCTACCATCTGCTGCTCTGCCTCACATAAAGCTGATTACTGTTCCACTGATTCCCAGTCTGTGGTGGCAACATGGCTAGAGAAGGCCACAGGGCCCAAATGGACTCCTCACTCAGGACAGAGCGGCTCTCTCTAGATGCTGCCACCCACACCACACAGGGGTGGGGCTCCTGCTAGGGCGACCATATGTTCCCGTCTGCCCAGAGAGTGTGGGCTGACACCTGTTGCCAGGCTCCCCGTCTGTTAGCCACCTTCCGATCTGCAAAAGTGCGTTCATCAGCCTACAAATTACAGTCACCTCAGCTTTGTTTCCTCTGATCACATCCCTGCTATGGCTTTCCAAACTTCAGGACCTTCCCGTCATCCTGACCACACCTCTGGACTCACTCACACTTAGGTGACGGCCTCGAATTTCATCTGCACGGCATCTCCAGTCACCCTCTCCCTTTCCCGAGGGGGGAAGGGTCCTGACTCCCCTCCGAGGTTAACTACAGATCTGTGTGCTTTGTTTCAGCCCTTCTATTTGTTCTCCCACATTTACCGTAGAATCTTGGTCCTTTCACCAACTTTTCATCTTTCCTCTCCATTTTCTAATTAAATATTTTTTCCTTCCCACTGGCTAACTAAACACATTCAAGTCCTTCTTCCTCTAAACAGACAGAACTTTCATTTCTGCAATACCTAATCTACTGCTCCAGATCTCTCCTTATAACTGCCTGTTATTTATGGCCTTCGTTTCTCCACCTTCTCTTTCCGTATTAACTCATCAGATTCTTTATTTGGATTTCTGTCTTGTTTGCCTTTTCCCATTTGCATGCCAGCCACGTGGATCCACTGAGTCCTAGTTGGTGCATCATGGCTTTCTCTAAAATTTCCAAGTCTTATCACATCCTTTACTTGCTTCTAAAAGCATTCTTCATGTGGACTCTTCACCCTGCTTTTCCCCTTTGATAGAAGTTCTTGTTTCCCCATTCTAAAAAGAAACTCCAGGTCCCAGTGGGTGTCCAGCCTCTGGAGCAACCTCAGGGCACGTGAACCACCATGGCTAATTTTCTTCCTCATGGCCAGACACATTATTTCTTCCTACCTTTCTCTGTAGCACCCACCACCTAGCAATGGCCAGCAGTGTCTCTAACCAAAGTTGTGCTCACTAAATTCACGTCTTTCCAGGGTGGCATGATATGAAACACTGACGGTGACGCTGAGGTTGATTGCTTCTGTCTGCATTTCTCTGGTGCAAACAGTCAAAAGGCCCACTTCGCAGGCCCAGGATCCCTCTGCCAGTCATCAGAGAATATTCTTAAAACTTATTTCTTGCCTGGCCTCCTAACCACTAGTCTTATCTTTTTGGTGTAACCCACATAGGAATCTTCACTACTTCCATTTGTCCCTGGCATCTTAGTGGCCCAAGCTACAGGGTGTAATAATCATGTGTTATTGCAAGTGGATTCCATTACTCTGACCAATTAGCATGTTTTACTAAGAGACAGGCAACAGGTTTATGGGCCTCTGACTAAAGTAAACTTATCATATGAACATCTTGACTTCACTGACTTTACTTTCTAGATGTTATTTGCTCAAAAATACAGAAAAAAAAATCACATGGTTATAAACAGTGCTTCTTACACTTTAATGTGTATTCTGCTCCCTGGAGATTCCAGTTCAGCAGGTCTGGAGTTCAGCCTTACATTCTGCTTTTCTAACACACTCTCAGATGATACCTTGAGTCGCAGGTTGTAGAATGTGACACGAAGCACACATTGCTTGTTTAGCTTTGAGAACAAAGTATGCCTTTACTCCTTACTGGCCCAGTGGACAGCACAAGAAACTTTGTCACTTTCTATTGCTTTATATCTGAAGGCAGAGGACTCATTTCATTAATTTACTTAAAAAAAGATTTTAAAGAAATTTAAATTGAAAAAATGTCTGAAAGTAGAGTAAATAGGATAACGAACACGTCGCAGCTGACATCAGTTTAAACAATTATTTAGCATATATTTTCTTTTAATTAAGAAATAATTTAATTTTAAATATAGGAATAATTTAAAATTTACAAAAATAGTGCAAAGATAGAATCAAGAGTTCCCTTATCAATTTCCCCCTCATGTTAACATTTTAAATCACTAGAATTAAGAGACTGATAATATTTAATCAATCACCTGGAGAAGCGTTTGCAAAGTTTCTCCCTGGCAAAGCTACTATTTTCTTTTTTCCCTTGTTTAATCTTTGTAAGTAAGTCACAAAGGGCAGCCCAGCCTGGGGGCAGAGGGGAGAGGAGAAGAAAACAATTCAGTTTCATCTCCTATAAGGTGCAGGTGCACATCCTCAGTATTCTTTGGCAAGAAAAATTTGTCTTTTCCTCCATTTATTTATTCCATCACTTCTAGCCATACGAGTTCATATGTATTTATTTTATTCTGTGTCTTACAACCCAATACTGTTTTATTTATTTTGTTCTTCAAACACTTTCAGTTTTGGCTGCTGGAAGACTGCACAGGTTGGATTCCATGTCCTTGGCATGTCCGCAGTTTTTGTTTATGAGTACTTCTTACTTTCTTGCATCAGATGATGTGCCAGGTTCACCTTGTATTTCTTCTGTCCCAGCCTAAGAGTCAGCCATTTCTCCAAAGGCTCTGTTTCTGAGACTGAAGAATGACATATAAAACCCAAGAGGTGTAGCACACATCTTATAAAATTATCTCTATATCCTCAGCCATTGTCCAGATAACATTTTTTTCTTTTAAATTTTTCTTTCTTTTTCTCTTCTCCTTCTCCTCCTTCTTCTTCCTCCTCTTCCTCTTCTTCTTTTTGAGTTAGGGTCTCACTATGTAGCTCAGGCTGGCTTTGAACTCACCATGGAGCCCACACTGGCCTCGAACTTGGAGCATCTTCCTGCTTTAGTCCCGAGAGTGCTTGTATTACAGGTATGTGCCACCATGCCAGGTCCAGGTAAGAGCTTTTCTTAACTTTGTTATTACTATTAGAGACTCTACTTCAATTTTGAGAAGTGGTATCACCTGGTTTGAAAGTTGGAAATCATTGCTAGATTTAAATCTTGATTCTGCCAGGCAAGTTGCACCAGTCTGAGTCTCCTCCTCTGTAACATGAGAATTTTGGCAGTAATACAAAGTGTGGCAGACATCTTCAGTCATCCAGCTCCATCTCTTCTTTCTCTAGTGTTCACAGAAGCCCGTTTTGTTCAGGTATGAGGGGGTGAACAGTCACTGGAATATGACCCAGCATGGTGTTCTCACTCTGACAGTGGCTGATTTAAGCAAAAATGTGTAAGCACATTTTGACTAATAAGGTAGGGAGAGAGATAATCTTCACTAATTAAGAAGAGAAGCAGTTATCACAGGTACACAGTTTAGAAAGAGGATCAGCAACTGGAGAGGGCTCCCGGTAGCAGCCTGCTGCCAGTGTGAGCTCTCAGAACCAGCCGAGCCTACATGATCAGCTACTTGGCCCACACCTTCTGTCTAAGACCTGCCAGACTATTGCAAAGGAGAACCTAGGAGTTCTTCAGTGGGCTCAAGAAACACACTGCTCTGGCTGCTTTGGGGAGCTTGATTTCTGGTCCTACACAGGCATCCTTAGAGTTTGGCATCACGTTATAACTATTCATCATGGTTCCCATTTGCACAAGAAAAGAAGGGTTCTGCCCAAGAGAGGATTCTGTGAGATTCTCCCCGGGTACTAAGGTTTAGTATTTGGAGACGTTCGTTACAGGGGTGGAAATGCCCCCTTCCAGGCCACCTCCAAAAATGTTCAGGCCATTGGGCAAAAATACAAATGGAGATCAATTTACGATGTCTAAATATTCAGAAGCTATAAATAGCCATTAAATAAAATACATTCTGTATTTTCACCTTAACAAATAATGCTCCATAACAATAACATTTTTTTTGTACCAGGGATTGAACTCTGGACTTTGTGATTGTGAAGCAGGAGGTAGAACCACTGAGCTAAATCCCCAGCCCCATAATAACATTTTAAAAAATGTGTGAAGCTATAGTTTATTGGTACAGTACCAAAGATATATGAACTTTAATCATGACTTGACATAGTTAAATACAGTATTATGTTGACTGATGATTTTGAATAAATAATAAAGATGCACACTCAAAAAAAGAAGCAGGCATATGACTTCCTCATTTAAGTGCCTCTGGTGAGCAGGCACGTGGCATGTAAAATGGTTACTGCCATCTTCTATCCACGAAGGGAAGCTGACAATATGGCAGAGAAGCCAAACTGAACGGACAACATCTTTGATGGTAGAGAATTGGTCAAATCTACAACCACTATATTTTTAGCCTTGTCTTACATGATGTTAAACATTTTTCGCTTAACCTATTAAATTGGGTATCATACCTGTGATTTAGGGGCATGGCTAGGATCGAACCCATGGACTTGTGCTTGTCAGGCAAGTACTCTAAGACTGAGCTAGCTATCCTCCCAGCCACGATACTTGTGTTTGAAAGCAGCCCAACCGATACACCCATTTTGCAGCCATTTCTAAAGAAATAATACATGAAATGTAACTCTTGCAGTGGATGGCACTCAGTAAATAGAATTTACAATGTCCTTCCCTCAATTCTAAGTCTTGTATGTTAACATTTTTTTGAAATTTAGGCTTACTCATATCCTCAGAGATCTGAGTTCCTACAATATGCCAAGTAACAGTAGGATGTTCTA